CACTGGACACAGCACTGCAGATGGGGCCTCACCAGGGCAGAGCAGAGGGGGAGGAGAACCTCCCTCGCCCTGCTGCCCACACTCCTCTTGATGCACCCCAGGATTCCACCGGCCTTCTTGGCACCCAGAGCACACTGCTGGCTCATGGTGAACCTGTTGTCCACCAGCACACCCAGGTCTCTCTCCACAGAGCTGCTCTGCCATGGCACAATCCCTGTGTTTGGTCCGAAAGGCTCCTCACCCCCACCCTATGGGCTTGCTGAGCTGCAGAGGTTGTGCTCTGCACTGTGGTCCCCAGCGCAGGAATTGTTACTTTACAGAGCACCTGCAGTTAATCTGAGCATGTGACAGTGGCAGAAAGCATTGAGGCTCTTGGGAAAAAAAAAAACCAAAACAACTTTACTCACTATGATAGCATTAATCAGATTTCATCTCGGTGGAGATGCCTCCTGTCATTTCACATCAGCCTAAGGCCCGTGACATTGTCTAGCCACATTCAAACAAACTTCTCAGTGATGCCATTAACCAGCTTGGACAAGCTTTCTGACGATTTACGTGTTGTGCAAAAGCAGAGAGTCAAATTCTGATTGCAGCTGGACTTCACAAATCAAATTTAATAAGTCTCCGTGCTTGACACTCCCAGCACCTGTTATCACATGCTGTGTATGCAAACGATGAGCTGGCCCAATAAAGAAATAAAAATCGGTGGATATATGCATGTATATATATGGACACAGAGCAACAGAAGTTCTGCCATTTTATTTTTCTAGCTTGCTGTGGGCTGCTGCCAGTCAGCAGCTAAGCAACTACACAGCCACTCGCCCACTCCCCCCACCCAGAGAGATGGGGGAGAGAACAGAAAGAACAGGAGGAGAAAACTTGTGCCTCGAGATAAAGACGGTTCCATAACCAAAAGAAAGAAAAAAACCCCAAGTGATGTAAAGGCGATGGCTCAGCATCTCGCACAAAGCAGACCGACACCCAGCCAGTCTCTGAGCAACACCCAGAGTGGGAGCCAGGAAACCCCAGCCCCCATCTTCCTCTGCTCCAGGTTTTATCACCAAGCACGACGTGATATGGCCTGGAAGATCCCTTGGGTCGGCTCAGGACCACTCCTCACGGCTGTGCCACCTCCCAGCCTCC